ATCCGGACCCCCCCCCTTGAAGGGGAGGAGGGGGGGGGGGGTTCTGGACCCCACCCCCCCTTCTAGTGTATTCAGGGAGATCCACTGGCGCACTTTCCGTTTTTGGCCGTGTTGGGGGCCTGTCTGGGTCGTCGTGGGGCACACTTGGGGCATATCCAAGGGTTCTTAGAGGTCATCTTGGGCGTCGTCTTGGAGGCCTCTTGGGCCGTTTGGGGGCCTTTTTGGGGCCGTCTTTGGGGCCGTCATGGGGCCATCGTGGAGGCCTCTTGGGCGATTTTGGGGGCCTTCTGCGCAGTCTTGAGCCGTCGGAATGCCGAGCAGAAACTAATGCCTACATGTTTCAAACATTTTTTTGTGACAGTCAATGATTTGGGCCTCTTCGTGCCCTCCGGGAAGACCGCCAGGACGCCTTTTGGGCTGTCTTGGAGGCCTCTTTGGGGCCTCTTGGGCTGGCTGTCTTGCGCCGTCCTGACTGAGGCCATTTTATGCTGTCTTGGGTGCATCTTGGGCCGTTTGGGAGGCATCTTTGGGCCATTCTGGCCGTTGTGGAGGCCATTTTGGCCGTCTTGGAGGCCTCTTGGGCCGTCTTGGGGGCCTCTTGGGCCGTCATAGGGGCCATTTTGGGAGCCTCGTGTGCGATCTTGGGGCCTCTTGGGCCGTCTTGAGCAGTCGGAATGCCCAAAAAAAAATAGCCTGGCGAAGGACCCAACCAATTGCAGCTGCGAGTACCGCGCGGATATGAGACGAAGGAGGGGGCACGCAAAGTAGGCCCCTCTTCTCATAGGCACGGCGCCACTGGGGCCTTCGGTGGAGCTCCCTATGGGGCCACGAAGCGTGTGAAGGGTGTGCCGAAATGGGTGGTGGGGAGGCATGCGGACCCTGCCACGGGGGCCTTCGGTGGAGCTCCCTATGGGGCCACGAAACGTGTGAGGGGTGTGCCGAAATTGGTGGTGGGGAGGCATGCGAACGCAGCCACTGGGGCCTTCGGTGGAGCTGCCTATGGGGCCACGAAACGTGTGAGGGGTGTGCCGAAATGGGTGGTGGGAGCCACTGGGGCCTTCGGTGGAGCTCCCTATGGGGCCACGAAACGTGTGAGGGGTGTGCCGAAATGGGTGGTGGGGAGGCATGCGAACGCAGCCACTGGGGCCTTCGGTGGAGCTCCCTATGGGGCCACGAAACGTGTGAGGGGTGTGCCGAAATCGGTGGTGGGGAGGCATGCGGACCCTGCCACTGGGGCCTTCGGTGGAGCTCCCTATGGGGCCACGAAACGTGTGAGGGGTGTGCCGAAATGGTGGTGGGGAGGCATGCGAACGCAGCCACTGGGGCCTTCGGTGGAGCTCCCTATGGGGCCACGAAACGTGTGAGGGGTGTGCCGAAATGGGTTAGAGGCACCACCTGGGGCCTTCGGTGGAGCTCCCTAATGGGGCCACGAAACGTGTGGGAGGGGGTGTGCCGAAATGTGGTGGGCCGCAATTGCGAACGCAGCCACAGGGCCTCGGTGGAGCTCCCATGGGCCACGAAACGTTGTGAGGGGTGTGCCGAAATAGGTGTGTGGGGAGGCATGCGACGCAGCCCACTGGGGCCTCGGTGAGCTGCCTATGGGCCACGGCACGTGTGAGGGGTAGTCCGACAAGGTGTTGGGGAGGCATGCGAACCCTGCCACTGGGGCCTTCGGTGGAGCTCCCTATGGAGCCACGAAACGTGTGAGGGGTGTGCCGAAATGGGTGGTGGGGAGGCATGCGAACCCTGCCACTGGGGCCTTCGGTGGAGCTCCCTATGGGGCCACGAAGCGTGTGAGGGGTGTGCCGAAATGGGTGGTGGAACCGCATGCGAGCGCAGCCACTGGGGCCTTCGGTGGAGCTCCCTATGGGGCCACGAAACGTGTGAGGGGTGTGCCGAAATGGGTGGTGGGGAGGCATGCGAACGCAGCCACTGGGGCCTTCGGTGGAGCTCCCTATGGGGCCACGAAACGTGTGAGGGGTGTGCCGAAATGGGTGGTGGGGAGCCATGCGAACGCAGCCAGTGGGGCCTTCGGTGGAGCTCCCTATGGGGCCACGAAGCGTGCGAGGGGTGTGCCGAAATGGGTGGTGGGGAGGCATGCGAACCATGCGAAAAAACGCAGCCACTGGCCTTCGGGTGGGAGCTCCCTATGGGGCCACGAAACGTGTGGAGGGGGTTGCCGAAATGGGTGGTGGGGAGGCCCCGCGAAAAACGCAGAAGGGCCCCAGGGGCCTTCGGTGGACTTCCCTATGGGGCCACGAAACGTGGGGGTTGAGGGTGTGCCGACATGGGTGGGGGGATGCCTTGCGAAACGCAGCCACTGGTCCTTCGGTGGAAGCTCCCTATGGGCCACGAAACGTGTGAGGTGTGCCGAAATCGTGGTGGGGGATACCAATGGGGCAGCCGAGCGAACCCCACCTTTGGGCCTTCGGTGGAGCTCCCTATGGGGCCACGAAACGTGTGAGGGGTGTGCCGAAAATGGGTGGTGGGGAGGCATGCGAACGCAGCCACTGGGGCCTTCGGTGGAGCTCCCTATGGGGCCACGAAACGTGCGAGGGGTGTGCCGAAATGGGTGGGGGGGAGGCATGCGAACGCAGCCACTGGGGCCTTCGGTGGAGCTGCCTATGGGGCCACGAAACGTGTGAGGGGTGTGCCGAAATGGGTGGTGGGGAGGCATGCAAACCCTGGAGGGAGGAGGGCGAGGAGAAGGAGGAGGAGAAGGAGGAGAAGGAACGCGGGGACCGTTTCTTCAAAACGAGGACCCAACACCACAGGATGGTTGGGAACAAGTGCCAACATCTGCCAAAACAACTTAAGGAACATCAGTGTTTTTGGCCTATCCGGGCCCTCCCGGAGGACCTCTTGGATGCCTCTGGGCCGTCTTGGAGGCCTCTTGGGGGCCTCTTGGGCCGTCTTAGGCCATCTGGAGGCCACCTCAGGCCGTCTTGAGTGCATCTTGGGCCGTCTTGGAGGCATCCTGGGGCCATCTTAGCCGTCTTGGAGGCCATCTTGGGCGTCTTGGAGGCCTCTGGGGCCGCCTTAGGGCCCTCTTGGGGCTCTCTTGGGGCCCTCTTGGGAACCCTGGACGGCCTCTTGGGGCCATCTTGAAGGCCATCGATCAAAGGAGGAGCGGTGATAACGTTCAGCCCCCCCCCCGAAAAGATGCCAACATGGGGCCAATTTCTTAGCAAAACCAATGATTTGGGCGCCCATAGGGCTGGTGGGATAACGTTCAGCCCCCCCTCTGCCCCCCCCCCCCCCTCAAGAGACCAAACTGGTGCCCAAATCTTGGTAAAATCAAAGATTTGGGCGCCCAGAGGGCTGGTGGGCATTTTTCGGTCCCCACCCCAAAAAGGCCAAAATGGGGCCATAACCTTAGTAAAATCAGTGAATTTGGCTTCCTCGACGAGGCCGTTTTGGACGCCCTGACACCTCGCGGGCCCCCCCTAAAAAGTCCAGGAGAAGGGTAAGGGGAGGGGTCAACCCCTCCCCGTAATTGAAGAGGGTCTTTTCTGGGAGAGGGAAGAGGGATCTCGTTGGACCACCTGTCGCCCAGAGGGCCGGTGGGATTTCCGGTACGCTGATGGTGGGAATCCGTGAAACTGTTTGCAAATGTTCCAAACGAATGTGCGCGACGCTGAGGCGAGAGCTGCATTTTGAAAAGGAGCCGCCCTCAATCCGTGAAGCGCTTGCAAATACATTGCGAGCGAGCGTGCGCCGTGCGGAGGCGAGAGCCACGTTCGGAAGACCACCCGCCCTCAGTTCGCGAAGCCCTTGCACGTCTGACAACTCCTGGTCTGGGAGGGCGGGGGATGAGGGGGAAGGGGGGGGGGAGGAAGGGAGGAGGAGGAGGAGGAGGAGGAGGAGGAGAGTAGGAGTAGGATAGGAGGAGGAGGGGAGGGAGGAGGAGGAGGTAGATGAGGAGGAGGGAGGAGGAGGGTAGGATGAGGAGGAGGAGGAGGAGGAGGAGGAGCAGGAGGAGGGAATGGAGGAGGGAGGAGGAGGAGGGAGCAGGAGCGAGCGTGCGGCCGCGGGGAAGGCGAGAGAGCGAGAGCCACACCTCTGACCACGAACCCCCCTCGGCTCGCGTGCAGGCTCCTGCAAGCTCCCTGCAAAAGACGAGAGCCTGGCGGAAATGCCCCAGGAGGCCGCTCTGGGGGCCTCCTGGCCCCAGCCACTGCTCGGCGTCGGGGCGCCTGGGGCTATCGATCCCCACGCCCGGCGCGTGGCCCGCGGCTCCGCCGCGCCTCAACGACACAGACCCACTTGAGTCATTGAAAAAATCACGACGGGGAGTTTTCGCTTTTCCGGCCTACGAGGGCCCTTTAAACCGCCGCGCCCTCGGAACCGTCCAAAAAACGACTCGGGATAAAAACCGTGTCGGGGAATGGGTCTGTGACCGCGTTGTCGTCGTCATGAAAAAATCATGACGTCGGGGTCTGGGACATCAGGCAGTGCCACAGGCAGTGCCCAAGGGGGGTCACCAATGGGGGGGTCGCCAGCCTTCTCCTGGAAGTCGAGGATCCAGGATGGAGAGTCGAGGCGAAGGAGGCTGCTCTAAGACGCTTCCCCCCGTTCTCAGGCTCTGGTGGGGCCCAGTATTCCATCGAGGGGAGTTTCGTATGGAAGTGCGTATCCTCGAGGAAGTGGCCGACCCCCCTAGTGTGACCCCCCCTATTGCACTGCCCCACAACCCCCGACCCCCGACGTCGTGATTTTTTCACAACGTCGACCCCCAGAGGTCTGGACTCCTTCCCCGGGACCGGTTCTTCGTCCTGAGTCGTTTTTTGACGCTCCCGAGGCCCGGTGAGGGCCCCCAGAGGCCGAACATAGCGAAAAACCTCCCGTCGTGATTTTTTCACGACGCTTTGACCCCCCTTTGCACTGCCCCACAACAGTTTCTGCCCGCGGCGAGATGCGCGCCGCGGCCCTGGCGCTCCTCGCGGCGCTCCCGGCGCTCGCGGGCGGCGAGGCGCGGCCGTGCCGCGGCGAGCTGCTGCGAGCCCGGCGTGCCCTGAGGGACGCGCTGGGCGCGGAGGGCCTCGCCCTGCAGGAGTCGCCTGCACGCAAGAGGGACCCTTCGCCGGAGGGACCCCAGACCTCCTCGCGTCGTGAAGAAATCACGACGGGAGGTTTTTCGCCATTTTCGGCCTCCGTGGGCCCTCGCCGGGCCTCGGGACCGTCAAAAGACGAGTCAGGACGAAAAACCGGTCCCGGGGAATGGGTCGGGACCTCTGGGGGTCGCGTCATGAAAAAATCATGACGTCAGGGGTCTGGGACCTTTGGTGCGCGCGCATGGGGGTCCCCCGATCGCCGCGCTCGTTGCGATAGTAGCGCCTTGCGCGCCTGTGCTTGGCCTCCTCGCGCCCCCCAAAAAGCCACGCACCAAAGGTCACTCTTGCCCAGGGTCACTCTTACGCGCAGCCGCAGGAGGCCGCCGTGCGCGGGCGGGCGGGGGGCCGGGGGGAGGTGCCGTCCGTCCCGCTCGCCCCGCGGGGGATCCCGGCAGAGCGCTCCGGCGGGTCGCAGGCGCGCGGCGTAGCTGGAGACGTGGGCGATCGTCGGGCAGCCTCGGCGTGGGCACGGGTGTCCACTCCGTATTGTCTGCAGATTGTCACTGGCACTGGGACCCATGATCAAGGCACCGTGGACGTGAGCGTGGATGTGGGCAGTGGGCTTGTGCAAGAGGCCTCTGGGTCCTTTGACCGAGGTGAAACAGTGCTCTCAAAGTGTTTTTCCAGCGCGATCCTGGCGCTACAGATGCACAATCCAACATCAAATGGCTGGGCAGGCAGCATGCTGTATTCCACAGATGGTGGCAACACCTACGTATCTGTTGCATGCGCAGATTGTGTGGGGACTACAGATTCAAGATCCATGGTTTTCGATGGAAACGCCGACGGAGACAATATGGCTTCGACTCAGTGCCTCAATGGCAATGTGTGCAGCTTCATTATGCTGACTCTGACTCTGGCTCCAACACCGTGGTCCTGCACCTCGATGTCTGCAAGCCATTTCTCTTATCAGTATCAGTCCTATCAAATCAGCGACGACATTGTCGGATTGACATCAAATGCACAGAGCGCTTATGGACGGGTTGCGGTTTCGTTCGCGGTGTCGGAGGGATTCACCATTCAGTTCGACATGTTCCAGGGTGGTGGATCGGGTGCCGACGGGTGCTGTATGAAGTACGGTGGTTCTCAGGAGCGAAAGAAGGACGTACATGTACATGAATCCACGCTGGTTTCGAGAGCACGCATTTCACAAATGTTCGTATAACGCGGCCAGTCTCGCGGATCGAGGGGCCGTGTTCATGTACATAGCTGGGCGCGTACGTCCTTTGTGGGCTCCCTAGGTTATGACGACAATACCTGGGAGGATGTCTCTGCGGTGGGCCTGTCCGTCTGTTTTGACTCCCACGGGTCGGATCGCGGCGTGAGGATTGGGTGGAACGGAGATATCCTGTTTTCAGATGGACAGGCCCCCAGCTTCGAAGATTCCGACTGGCACAGCGTCATTGTAGAGGTCGGAGGGCACCAGCTATACACCAACACCGATCCTGGCCCAGGATCACCCTGGGCCCAGGATCGGTGCATGTGCCTTCTTGCGCAAGGCAGGAGGGCGTATACACCGATCCTGGGCCCAGGGTTATCCTGGCCAGGATCGGTGTTGGTGTATAGTTGGTGCCTTCCTGAGAGGTCACGCCGATCGGCAGTGGTGCGAGTGTCGCATTGAATTTTGACAGCAACTCCTATTACAAAACAGCTTGGATCAGTAGCTACTCGCCTCCCATTGGTAGTGGCCAGCTGACCTTCACCGCAAGAAACGGTTTGATGACGAATTTCCACGAGATCAAGGATGTCCAAGCGTGCAATCAGGGTACTACGGGCACTACGTTTTGGACGTTATTGGCTCGGCAAACGTATCCGACTTTGTTCACAGAGGGCGAGTGGTCGAAAAACGCGGGATATCCTGAAAATGACAATTATGCAATTTTGGATCAAATTGAAAATTATCGCAGCGGCGACGGAGTGTTCACGTTCAAATTGAGTTGGCCAGGTTCGGAATTGCAGGACCAAATATGGAATCAATCGCTCAACCCATATACTTCACCAGGGCAGCAATTAACCAGACCAGTTGCGGGCTATGAGGATGTGGCTGTCCACTACACTGACGCGTATTGGGGGGGCCTGGAAAGCGTTTCTACATACGCGCTCTTGGACGGGAGCGTGGCCGACTGGTCTTGGTGGTACGCAGTTGGCTCTTTCCAAGAACATGATGGTGGCATGCCCGGCCCCAACGGAATCGTCGTGAATAAAGTCGAGCTCTACGTGGCAACGACCGCGTATTCTTTGCTTATTCCTCAACGCGGATGTGCCGATGGTAGTGGCACCAGGCAGAGTGGATGGCTTACCGTCGGCAAACCCTACACTCCTGCAGCGTGCGCGATTGAGTGCGCGACGTATAATTTCTTCACCATTGCAGGGGATGACGCCGATTGCAAGTGCTCGGACGCCTGTGTAGACGAAAACGGTGGACACACATCATATGTTTTTGTTCAGGAATCGAGTACCACCCTGTCGGCCCTCACGACGTCGAGCTCCAGCACATCGAGTACGACCGTGACGTCGACCACCATGACGGCGTCCAGCACCACCGGGACATCGGCCACCGTGACGTCGAGTTCCAGCAGTACGACCGTGACGTCGACCACCATGACGTCGTCCAGCACCACCGGGACATCGGCCACCGTGACGTCGAGTTCCAGCAGTACGACTGTGACGTCGGCCACCATGACCATGACGTCGTCCAGCACCACCAGGACATCGGTCACCGTGACGTCGAGTTCCAGCAGTACGACTGTGACGTCGGCCACCATGACGTCGTCCAGTACCGTGACGACTGTTTTGTATGATGTATTGACGCACGGCCAATGTGACAGGTGGATAATGTACATCGATGGTTGCACGTTGGCCGCATACGAGCTTAACCTCAGCACCGTTCCCGCAATCGATGATGAACAGAGTGGAGGGTGGAGTGATCCGCCCTTCTGTTATTTGGAGAACTCAAAACTCAAGTTCAACTCCGATGGAAGCAACAAGGGTTCGTGCAGCCAGGGTGACCAGTGTATTTGCGCCTCGGTGTCTCCGACCTACACTGCGACTTCGGAGACGACCACTACGCGCACGGGCTATTGGCCTCCCACGCTATCGCCGACATTCGCCCCGACGCCAGCTCCCACAGAGCAGTGCTTCGATCTCAATGTGACCGAGAACGTTACAGAGTGGCCAGGGTGGCATGAGTGGTACGATACCGGAGGGCCCACGTACAACTGTGACTGGTATGGGACGATGAATTGTCCGAGTGACTCGCCAGCGTTCAGAAACTTCGGGCATATCGCGCAGGAAGCATGCTGCGCATGCGGCGGTGGTCAAGACGAACTCAGCCAGAAGGTGTCTGTGGGCATCACCGTGCAGGGGGTGGACTTCGTGCTCTTATCGCAGAACGAAGAAGTCCAAGAGGCCTTCAAGGGTACTATTCAGATTACACTAGCCAGCGCTGCGGGCGTGAATCCTGACAATGTTGACGTGGAGCTTTACGCAGGCTCAGTTTTCGTTGTTGCAACTATCCGGCTGCCGACCTTCATCAGGCCCCAGACCTTGTCGCAGCAGTTGGGGGATAATTCTCGGACCATGGCCGACAATGTTGCCGACGAGGTGCAGTCTATCCCGAACATGGACAGCGTCATCAATGGAGAAATTTCCGCCGTGGTCGACCAAGTCGTGGTGCTAACGAACTACAACTTCATCGTGGTCACCGATGGATCCTGCCAAGAGCCCATAACGAACGACACCCTCTGCGAGGCTGCCGCGGTGCAGCTGGGGTTGCAGCTGCCCGACACGACGCCGCTGGACGACGGTCAGAGCGGCTCTCGGACCGACCCCCCGGGCTGCTACTTGGAGGACGGGACCCTGAAGATCAATTCGGGTGGGGGCAACACCGGCAGCTGCGACGCGACCGACCAGTGCCTTTGCTTCCTGACGCCCACGCCCGCGCCGACGTCAAGCTCCTGCCCGAGCTCGTGCTTCGGCCTGAGCTGCGACGAGATCACCACGTCGATGGGCGACTCAGCCCTCTGGGGGTGCCTGGCGCTGGAGAGCACTTACTTCTGCGACTGCGCCGGCTGCAGCTGCGAGGAGTACTGCTCCGCCCACTCCTCATGCTCCGACGGCTCATTTTGCAAAAGTGATGGAACGTGTGCCGCCTGCAGTCAGTGTGAGCACTGCTACAACGGCATCGACAGCACCTGTGGCCTGTGCGGCAACACCACGAGGAACGAGAGCTGCCAGGCGGACTGCCAGGATACGGCGGGGCGTGCTACGTTCAACGCAGGCGAAGGCATCGGCGAGGCAGGATGTGGCATCTACAGCGACCTTCCAGAGTACTGCCTGCTGTCCGCGGCCGCGTACGACGACGAGGATTTCACAGCCAGTCTGCAGTGCTGCTCCTGCGGCGGGGGCAGCAACCCGCGGGCGGACGCTGTCTGGCATGCCTTGGGCCCAGGCACCTGCCGGAACTCGGGAGGGGAAAAAACACAGACACTATTAATCTAGGATTCCCCAGAAGATATGGGCAAATATGGGAAGTGGGGGGGGAAGACAAAGACCCAGAACACATGAAAAAAGATGGGGAATCTTTTTATTTGTGTGTATTTATTTGTGTGTCCCAGTTCCCCTTCAGGAACCACGATGCCGACTGGCAGCAGTCGGACGAGCTCGGCCCCGGCTGGGGCCTGCAGCGAGGCTTCGGCTGGCGCATGTGCGACGGTCGGACCGACGAGGCGTGCCAGCAGGTTTGCGCGCAGACCCCCGGTTGCAGCATGATCTCAAACGGCTTCTGTTGCTTCCTCTTCAAAGGCTCTACGTGTGACCTTGATGCCAGCCAGAGCGGCCAGTCTTTCTCGACGGGTGCAGCTGGCAGCGAGCTGTGCGTGGATGGCTGCAATGGTAAGACGACCTGCAGGTGCGGCGCTTCCATGGAGTTGTGCACCATGCATGGGCTCATGTGGTGCAGCGACGGCTCCGACGCCGTTGATTGCGGGCTCCCGGTGACCGGCACCTGCAGCGCATGCGAGGGGGGGTGCTCGGTCGGCGGCAGCTGCAACTGCTCGATGGGCCCCGCTGCCTGCGAGGCTGCTGGCGGCGTCATGTGCGATGGCCCTGTCGACTGCAGCGTGTGTCCACGCCAGGGCATCGACCCCGCCGCCGTCGCGCGCGAGGCCGGTGCGGCGGCGGCCGCGCTCACGTGCGGGGGCCTCCGGCAGGCTGCGGGCGAATTCGCGCTGCCGCTGGCCTGCGCCCAGGTCCGCACGCTCTACGCGGGCGCGTGCTGCACGCCACACACCATGGCGCTGAGCATCCGGGTGGACAGCGGGGGCCTCACGGCCATGGTCTCCAACGGCAGCGCCAAGTCGACGTTCGAGGACCAGGTCGAGGCCACCCTCCTCTCAGGCCGCGAGGGCCTGCGGGCTGCCGCTGGCAGCGGCGTGTGGGTGGACAGCTACGCCTACTGCAGGGAGCTTGGGCTCGTCACGGTCCTGCTTGCGGCCACAGAGGTGGACGACCTCCAGGGGGAGGAGGCACGCCTGCAGGGCTCCCTGGATACTGTCACCAACGCCATTGCCACGGAGGCCAGTGCCATCCTGGAGTCCGGCAAAGTTCGTGGGGTGACGCTCGCACAGACCGACGCCCACTTCGACATGGAGGTCCAGTGCGCACGCTTCACGAGCATCCTCTCGAGCTGTAACGCCATTCAGGCATCGGTTATAGTCGCGCTGTGCCACAGAGAGAAGGTTTCCTTGAAAACCTGAGCATTGATTTTTAATAGGCTCAAAATAGGATTTTGAATAATGAGTAAAATAGGTTTAAAATACAGTTCAAATAGGGCAAGCGTTTTGTTTCAAAGGAAGTGTCTTAGTTCATCAGCCCCCCTTGTCGCTTTGATTGAAGCCATCACTCTCTGGCACACTACATGTAATAGTTGTGATGGCATCTTGAGGGTTTCTCCGGGGTCCTCGTGGAGGCCGCCTGGTGGCACATGGGGGGTCTTTGTGGCCATCGTAGCGCAGCCGTCAGCGGCCTTCTTGGGGCCGTGTTGGGCCGTATTGAAGGCCATCTTGGTTGTGTCCGAAGCTATGCTCCCGCTCCGCGACACTCCCTGGGGACCCTTGGGAAACGGGAAATGCTGTCACCGACGCAGCGCGTCTTCAGAACAGCATAGTGCTTAAATTACGTAGGGCACGTACTCACCATTCAAGGGGCCCAAGGACACACAAATAAATACACACAAATGAACATCTTCCCCATATTTCCCCATATTTTCTGGGTTTCTGTCTTCCCCCCCACTTCCCATATTTTCCCATATTTTCTGGGGATTCGAGGATTAACTGTGTCTGTGTGTTTCTTTCCCTCCTGAACCATGCCACGATCCCGCGCGGATGACCCTGGATCCGCACCCCCCTCGCCACGACCCCATTGCAAATGGCACAGGATGCGCACTTCCGAGCGCACGCCCCTGCGCATATCGGAACGAATCCTTGGTATCGGCAGCAGCACCAACGGTCCTCAGGCACCCTGCCGAGACACGTCTGGAAACAACGAGACCCCAAGGAACACTGTT